AATACGTTGTTTACATTACTACCTCATAAGAAAACGGTCCGTACCACTTAGAGATGCCGTAGAACCCAGTTTCGTGTAATTGGCTAACCTCATAATTTATAAATTATTTGCTGATAGGATCAAAATAATTGTTAAATGGTAGTAAATCTACCTGTATTTTCATTTTTAATCAGAATTTATGGTTCTATTTTATATTATTAGAAATTATTCCCTTGTTAGGGTTTACATATTTTAAAATAAATGAAACTATTTAGTTTTTACTAAAATAATGGCCTTTTCTAATGTATAATGAAATATGTTGTTTGGGCAATGTTTAAGCATTTTTGTTTAAATATTGAATAAAAAGTGGTGTTAAATAGGTATCAATATAATCAAAATACTGTTTTAGTAACTTATTTTAATTATTATACATTCACCTTATCTTTTTTCTAAGTACCTACCTAAGGTACTTTTCTTAGCACCTAAGGTAGTTACTACTTTTCTCATTAAAAATAGTTATAGATATTATTATTTACAGAACTAATGTTTGTGTATATAATCTTTATTTTGTATATCTAAATACATTTTCCAAATAAAAAAATTTTCTATAAATCTTATATGCCCATGTCGGTTAGTATTAAACGTGCGCTGCTATTAGCGAGCGCTCTTTAAGTTTTGGGTTCTGTAGTCGTTTGATAACTGTGATGTTAGACAATTTTTGATATTCACACCTGCAGCTGCCTTCACAGTAGTGATAAAGATGGCGGCGATATCGATTCGTGTTTTACGAACAAGTAAGATTTGAAAGTAACATTACGTTAATCATTAAAAATGCTTACTGTAAATTCCTAAAAAAATATCATTAAGCATGTTGCTTTTTAATATAAATGCCAATTTGGCTGTGTAGAGGTTAATGTGCTTTCTTTCAAGCGTACTGAAAATGTCATTGTCGTAACTTTGGATTAAATTCAAAATTTTAAGTATGATTTGTGCATAATATGCGGAATTTTAAATTTGTTATTTCTTTTCAATTTAAAGCACATTTAAAGCTAAGCATGGCACCTGATTTGGATGTGTTAAAGGATGTTTCGTGATCGGTTATTATAGAGAAGTTTATTCATTAAAGGTAGGTCATTACGATTTCCTATTATTACCTCGCATTTTGCAAAATATGTAAGTAAACAATATGCTGTGATTGACTATTTCAGTAATTATTAATTTTATAGCATTTGAAGTTACATTTGCGGTAAGTTTGGCTCAGTTTTTAGCAGTAGTTACTGTTGGTGTCATTTAATTTATTCATTCCGTCAGGTAAATTTACAAGTGCTTTTGCTATTTTTAACAGTTTTTAGTATTTTTTTCTAAAATATTCTTAGAAATCAATAAGTTTCGGGCGTACGTTTTTGTGTGCTAGAAGAACTGCGCATGCGTATTGATGAATCAGCTGGTGTTGGTAGTATCAAAAATGTAAAATTTCCAAAATTAATTGAACGTGATCGGCAACCCAATAATACAAAGCGTTCAATGGGTTGTCTAGTATATGCTTGTTTAAAAAAAATTCAAAATCGTTCTTTTAATTATGATTATATTACATTTTTAAATCTTTAAAACTGTTCCTCAAGCTGCGTTGATTTCCAGGTATCGTTTGGTAATAATATATGTAATATACAACAAAGCATTTCACAGTACACTTAGTGCAAAATATGATGTAACATTAAAAAGAAGTCCTGGCAAGACACATAAAAATAACTTCTTAAAGTAAAATATTTTTTAAAATATGTATCTGCTTAGAAATAGTAGGCAATTCAAGATTTTACGATAAAGTTAATTGTAAACATCTTACATTTAAGCAGAATTATGTATGTATTTTATTAATTGCAGGAAGAAAAATTTAAGTTGGGACGGAGCTCCAATAGACTCAACAGATCACAACAACAACATAAGGATGACATCAGAAGATTTATTACAACCAGGGCATGTGGTAAAAGAACGATGGAAGGTAAGACGAAGAATTTTCTTTTCTGTGCCCCCCCTCCTTTTTTTTAATATCGCTGATTGAAATTTGTTGTATCATTAACTGCATTATCTGAATTTTTTCAAATCAAATTTTTATTATTTTTCTTTTATTGATAAAACAGAAGTGTAATCCTTTTTTGTCATTGTAAATTTATTTAAAGTATTTATTTAGTTAAGAAGATAGGTCTAACGATCTTATGATGATGATTTAGTTAGGAATTTAAACCAGTTTAAAAGAAATTATTTTTAATTTCATGGAGCTTTATTTATTCTAAAATTAATGGTTAATGTATAAATCTGTGAAAAAATTAATTGTATTCTGTCTACAAAAATTATTGTTTTTATTTCTATAAAATACAAATGATCTCGTTATCCAGAATGTTTCTGAAACATTCAAAAACAATTTTCAAGTGTAAATTTTATTACAGAAATATTTTATAACTATATCACCAACCATACCGTTTCTGTTATTTAATTTTTAATAATTATTCTATTCCACTGTTGCTGTATGTATTATTTTACAGTTATTAAAATAAAGACATTTATTAAATTAATGTTAATGAAAAGTTATTATTTTTTTTTCAGGTAGTAAAAAAAATCGGGGGTGGTGGTTTTGGAGAAATATACGAGGGATTAGATCTCATAACAAGAGAACAGGTGGCTTTGAAAGTGGAATCGGCAAGGCAACCTAAACAAGTACTGAAAATGGAAGTAGCTGTCTTAAAAAAATTACAAGGAAAAGAACATGTTTGTAGGTTAGTATAGATGTATAAACTAATAAAAATTATGCTATATACATTTTACTTAACGATCAATTAATATTCATTTAACATATTACATTTAATAAGTTTTGCTGTATGTATGTATACTTCATATGTAAGCATTGATTTTGTCCTTTAATATTTGGAAAAATTATAATAATTATTCTTGGTAGTATATATATATGATCCTTTTACTGTTTAATTCAGTTATTTCAAAAAAGAAAAATTCACTGACGTATAATATTGATCAAAAATAAATAATGTATTAAGTAATCGTTTTGTAGTCTGCTGCTTAAAAAAGTTAAAATTTCAGTGTAACCATATTAGTGTTTATTTAAAAATTTATTCCGGATGTATCCATTTACAATCTCAATTTAATGATTTATTAAATTTAAGTATTACTCCATTTGCATTGCTTAGACTGGTAATAACCTAATAACTCCAAAAATGTAACATGTTGATTCTTTATATTTTATTATTCACTGTAGAGGTAATTATTCTAATATGTGTAAAATTTGTAACTATCTTAGCAATGAATCTGAATTTTTGTTACATTTATTTTTACCGAGAAACATTACTGAGACTGAGACTGAGACTATTAAAAATAAACGAATTGTATAATTAAAAAAAAAAAAGTAGTACAATTGAAAGAAAAATGAAGTATTATGACTACAAAACTTATTTGGGTTGTTTTAGTGTTAATAACATCTGCATATAATTTAAAATATTTGATAAAGTGATTAAACAATGAATGTATATTTCTTTTTTTTGATATATAATTTAATAAAAACATCTGTTTACCTCTGACACAATTACTTTGACAAAAACAAATTTTCTAAAAAGATGTTTAAAATAATTAAGGTCAAAATATACCTACAATTTTGCAATTTCAGATTTATAGGCTGTGGTCGTAATGATCGATTTAATTACGTCGTGATGCAATTGCAAGGTAAGAATTTAGCCGAATTGCGAAGGGCGCAACCAAGGTCAGCGTTTAGTTTGTCTACGACGTTAAGATTAGGATTACAAATATTGAAGGCAATCGAAAGTATACATTCTGTAGGATTTTTGCACCGTGATATTAAACCTGTAAGTGAAATGTGCAGTGTGCACTTGTCTGAATTATGATGCTCATTTATTATTTTTCTAGAGTAATTTTTCCATGGGTAGAATGCCATATAATTGTAGAAAAGTGTATATGTTAGATTTCGGATTGGCACGACAGTACACGACCGCGACCGGAGAAGTCAGAGCCCCTAGAGCTGCAGCTGGTTTCAGGGGAACAGTTAGATACGCCAGTATCAACGCACATAGGAATAAAGGTAGGAATTCTATTTTTGTTTAATTTTTTTAAGTGATACGTTATTCTTTCCGAAATTGTTTTCAATTATTTTTCAATTTACAATATAGTAAAGGTTCCTTATGTTTGCATGCTTTTAAATTTTACACTTTAGTCTTCCTGTAAGTGTTATATTGTTGCCTTAGAAGCTTACTTATGCTTTCAAAGTATGTTTTGAATGTATCTTCGATATTACAATCCAAATGCCAAAATGCATTTGTTGATTTTGCAATTATTCTGTTATTCGTAGGTATTATTTTGTCAAATTCGACAACCTAATTAAATTTGCTTGTTATTAATTTTGTTTTCTATATTTTCGTGTACTAATTTATTCAAACGGCATGGACTTTATTATTTAGTCACCAATCATTTAAGTTTTCGGTTATATTTCCCATTCATTACTATTTACCGACAATGGACGGATGTTGCAATTATTGGCAGTAGATATAATCAATTTGGAATTATGCTTCTGGTGTTTTGCGTTACTTTCATTACATGTATAAATAAATTTAATGATAAAAAGGAAGCTACGTATAGCGTTATACATGGTATTAGTTGTATAGCGAAAAAAAAACGATACCTGATGCGCGGCCGTCTTAATACTCATATGGCATATAGCAAATAGAATTTTCCACACCTCGCTTTTAAATTTCAATTTTGGTTACTCAATGCACTTAGATTTCTTTTGAAAACATAATTTTTTCAACAACTTATTTAAACATATCGTAGAAATGGGAAGACATGACGACCTCTGGAGTTTATTTTACATGCTGGTCGAATTCGTGAATGGTCAATTGCCATGGCGAAAGGTGAAGGACAAAGAGCAAGTTGGTCTTATGAAGGAGAAATATGATCACAGACTATTACTAAAGCATCTTCCATCCGATTTAAAGCAATTTCTTGATCATATACAGAGTTTGGAATACGCTGATAAACCCGATTATCAAGTGAGTTCATTTGGTATAAGGTACTTGTTTTGTAAATAGACGTATAATACTCTTAAACTTGTTTAAAATGAATACCCCTGTATTAACAGTAAAAAACAGTAGTAGCGATATTCAGTATATTATATTTGATATTTTTTGGCTATTCCATTTTTGAAGTAAAACTTTTTTAGAGGCGTTAAGAACCATTTTCCAGGCCACATAACGACCGGGATATATTACTGAAAAAAGGGGACTACGTCTATAAATGTATCTATACATACTTAAATACAGGACTGGCAATTGTGCAAGTGCTTTTTTCCAAGAACTCGTTGTAAAAGTTTAATTTCTGTCCCGTGCACTGAAATGTTTACGTCTTATTTCTCATAGAAACCTTACCTTAGAAACCTAAGGACAATTCTTTAAACACTGTCTTTCGGCATTAGCAGAATTTAAAATCTACTTCATATTGTCTACACTTACATTTTGCCTTTTCTACGTGTTACACCGAGAAAATCCAACTAAATAATACTTTTACCTTTTAATATATTAATAAGCATTTTGGTAACAATTACAGTGTACGTATACGATTTTTTTTTTCTATTTGTCGTAGATGCTGATTAATTTATTTGAACGTTGCATGAAGCGACGAGGCGTGAAAGAATCTGATCCATTCGATTGGGAGAAAGTACCACCGATTGACAATAGTACAGCGCCCATTACCCCGTCGCCGCACATTCAAACTGCGCAAACGGCAATATTGAACTCTAGGCACAGGCATACTGTCACCGATAATAATCAAGAGAACATAGAACCAACGGATAATAAAGAGGTATTTTTTATTTCATTTTATTATCAAAATTATAAAAGAATACCATTGCGTCATTTCTCACATGCCCCTTTTAAATAGCGGTATTTTGTGGAATAGNGTAATTTTTAAATTTATTTAGGTAACCAAAGGTGGTGCTCTCACTTTGGCTAGCCAGTGGAAGTCGCAGTTCGATGACAGTGAGGAGACGACGGACAACGAATGGAAACCGGAGAGTCCCGAACACAGAGCCATGTTGGGCATTCCATCCGAGATTAATCCCGCTGCAATGCCTGGCGCCTTAAGCAGAATAAGCGAAGACTCGCGCACCAGAAATAGTCACAGAAAATATATTAATATTGCCGGAATTGAGGATTACCCTGAATTAGTAGGTAATACTAAAAAATTTTACTTTTATTTATTAGAGGTAGAATGGAATTTTACTGATAGTAATGAATGGAATATAGTGTTATCAACTAATACTGTGATTTTTTTTCTTTAGGTAGCTTACCTCGTGCTTGGTCAACGCCCGCCCTTGGTCCCAACCTTCGGTCGGGACTGAAACCGCCTCTGTTGCAACAGGCGGCTTTCGATGATCTCGTTTTTAAAGTGGACGTTATCGTTTTCACCTAAATTTCAGTTATTAACAGTAATAAAATTAATAATTATTATACATCCTTGGATGTGAAAGACAATTTTGTATCTAGCCTAATATAGCATACATTAAAATGGAATTATTTTACCGGAGTACTAAAGAAATATAGACTTTAATTACATTTATGTAATTTGAAAATATCTATCAGGTGTCCTTAAAACGTATTTCACTTGCTCTATGTCAAATATTTTTCTTAATCTTCTGTAATATTAAGGATTATCTCTATCGTTTCGATGTAGCTTATGTTAACTGTTGTAATATTTTTATTTCCTTGTAAAATTGGTGCCGACACTTCTATTGATATCTTCTAACATATGTAGCATATAAATTCAAAGTATTTCTAACATTATTTAAATGACCGCCGGTTACGTAGGTGTGTGCGATTTTGAAAGGGGCCGGTCAACCATTTTCTCTTTCCTCTCAAAATTGAAATCCGTTTTTCTCTCTTTGCCCCGCTAGATGCTCATGAGGACGGAATTGCCGTTTGTGCAATTTTTGCATTTAAAGAATGTTCCATTTTAAGTCGTAACACATGTCTGTTTTGTATAAAGCAGGCCCAAATGGAAACGCGCCGTAAGAGGATGGATGCTGATACAACGGCGCCCGCCGGAACAGACCTGCCTGCTGTTCGATCGACCACGGTCGACAAGAACTGTAACGCCACCGCTGATCAAACCATCACAGGTAAGTGAACTATACCTTTTTTCACATATACATACAAGTATAGTGTATGAAATGAATTCATTTGCAAGACATACCAAATATTCTATACCACGTTATTTTGCCTTTGTCCACATTTGTTATTTAACTATGCAGTACAAAATACAATCAGGCTTACTTTGGTATTTATAAGTTTAGCCGTCTTTGAAACGCAGGCGGAATATTAAATTTTTAAAAAATTGACAATTTTTAAATTTGCATGTGTGTAGAATTAGCTTGGAACTTTTTATTTTTTTTTGTTTGTTAATCAAGGTTAGTGTCACAGTACATATTCTAAGAAAATTTGAACTGTCTTCCTCTTACCGTTACTGAAGGACTGTTATTATTCCTCGATTTTTTTTATTATTAAAATTCTACCAAAACTTTAAGGCATATATAAAATTAGATTTGCGTGAGGACAAGCATAACTCGATGAAAAGATGAAAGAGACTTAGAATGTTAATTGTTTTAGCCCAACGTCGTCGTGCAACATCAAATCATGAACAAGTTCCTGTCGCGTCAGTTGAAAAGTTAGACAACGAAGGAGCCGCATCGGCCCGATCGATCTCAGACGCCAATCAGAAGTTGATCCCTATTCGGAAGAGTCAGTCAGGTGTTGCGACCGTTGGAAGACTTCGCGTAGTAACACCAACGCCTCCGCCGCAACAAGGAACTAACAATACTACTGTCGATTCTCCTGGAACACCTGAACAAGAGAGGCCTCCGCGCAGACGCCAGACAAATGCGCGAGGCTCACGATCAGGTGTTCGTGACCAAAGTGTTACTCAGTTTGCCGTTATCGATGATGAAAATGTCAGTCAACAAGTAAGTACCTTCTTGTACACTCGTTTTTTTTTACATTATATATGCTAATATCTACGAGTTATTAAAAGGTACCTATGAGTGTACTTATAAACACTTATACCTTTCTCCTTAGATTCTAAGGATAATATATATATACAACAATAGTTTACTTTCACCTACGTCTTAATACTTTCAAGATATTATACATTTATGCATATTTTTGATTGTGTTTGCAACCAAACGACGTTGTTAATATGCATCTGCATGTCTATTTATATTCCAGTGTAATACTGTTCCATATTTTTGACAAAGTGTTGATAAAACTCTTTAAACTTTACTCGTGAAAATGTCTCATTCCGCGAGCTTGTATATAAGTTTTCATAATGTCAGTTAACATCCTATGTCGTTTCTACCAAACTGTTAGTAATACATTCGAAATTACGTTATTAGCAGGTAACTGAATTGTTACAATTAAAAATTGGTAAAATTTGTCTTTGGAAAGTGTGTATCGTTTTGAGGCCCTGATTATGTTGACTGGGTTTACCTTGATGCCCAGCATTGAATAAGTGCTAACCGATTTCTTTATTAATTGGGTAAACAAAACAATATAAGTGAAATCATACCGACGGCAGGTAGAATGTGTGGATTTGTCGTAAAATCTGAGTGTAACATAATTTTCTTTCTTGGTTTGTTTGCTCCAGCATTCAACATTTACCAATAAAATGATTAATTATAATAAGTTAAGAATTACTCAAGACGAATATAACACCAATAAAAATTATTTAATTCAACTATTTTAATTTCAGTACGAAAGAGTAGGGAAATATTTACATATCTGAAAGTTATAAATAAACAGTTAACCGAAGATTAAGGTTAATATTATTCAATTTAATTTTACCAAAAAGTAAACTTACAGTTTTACAAGTTTTCGGTAAATTATGACGTGTTTGCATGTATATTATCAGCGTTGCATACAATATTTGACCTGTTTTTGAGCCCTCCAGCCCCCCCTCCTTTCCGTCATACTATCTGACCCACTACTACCGTCCTACCTCAGCCTACCCGTCGACCTACCGCTCCTTACTTGGCTATCCACGAATCCGCTCCTCTGCGACGTCGTCATACCCAGGCTATTACCGTACCACCACGCCTACCGGCCGCTTTTGAAAGTCGATTTCGGAACTTGCCGAAGATCAAAACTTGTGCTGTCGGTAACGGTAGTCGCAGTCGTTTGGCCAAAACCAACCAATTTCACCACCTTGGGTAAAAAAGTAGATTGGAATTGCAATATATTTACTTACAATAAAAACGGGATGATCGGAAGCAGAACCGATTTTATACTATACGTTTGTTATTTTCACATATATAATAAACTAACAAAAAGCTTACTTGCACTCTTTACACTAATTACCAGTAATTGTTGTTTAAAGGTTAAATTGGATTTTATGTAGTAGATAACGCATTTCAGTTCTTACAATTAACGTTCTATTTGATAAAATTAGTGTTAAATATATGTCATCAAATTTTAAAGGGGGAGGGTCTAGAGGTGGTTTTTGAGCACATAGTTTTAATTCGGTTCTGGTTCTTTTGTAACAAAGTTATTAATTTTTCCCAGTTTTTAGCTTTGTTATATCCACCTTACTTATTGGTAAAGTAAATAAAATGTGACGTAATTTTTAAATTTATTTAGGTAACCAAAGGTGGTGCTCTCACTTTGGCTAGCCAGTGGAAGTCGCAGTTCGATGACAGTGAGGAGACGACGGACAACGAATGGAAACCGGAGAGTCCCGAACACAGAGCCATGTTGGGCATTCCATCCGAGATTAATCCCGCTGCAATGCCTGGCGCCTTAAGCAGAATAAGCGAAGACTCGCGCACCAGAAATAGTCACAGAAAATATATTAATATTGCCGGAATTGAGGATTACCCTGAATTAGTAGGTAATACTAAAAAATTTTACTTTTATTTATTAGAGGTAGAATGGAATTTTACTGATAGTAATGAATGGAATATAGTGTTATCAACTAATACTGTGATTTTTTTTCTTTAGGTAGCTTACCTCGTGCTTGGTCAACGCCCGCTCTTGGTCCCAACCTTCGGTCGGGACTGAAACCGCCTCTGTTGCAACAGGCGGCTTTCGATGATCTCGTTTTTAAAGTGGACGTTATGAGAAATGTGGCGTCTCGTCATCCACAAGCCTCTGACGAAGAGGATAATAGTCAGCACCAGGAGTCGTCACATAGATATCGCAGTTTACCGGAACTTCATATGCCAACCGTGTATAGGAAAAAACGCTTCGAGGATGAGGTTCAAAATGGAGATGAAGGACTACAAGAGGTCAGTTATTGTACTGTACTTTAGAGTAATATATAAAAGAAGACGCTTAAAGTGTGTATTAATTTGAATGAAACCAAAAATTTACAAATTATAAACTATTACCGAAGGTAAATTTTTGATTTGGACAATTTAAAACATTTCTCATAAATTTCCACCAAAATAATTTAATTATGATTGTCAATTAAAGATATAAAATGTTTTCTATTAAAACCTTTTTATTCGCATAGTTAAAGTGCATTTCAGAAAGATATATTTATGTGTGTATACACAAAAGTAATTCTACAGTATATTAAATAAAAAAAAACTTCAGTAGATTTCAATAAATTTATTAACATTTTCAAAGGTTGCCGGCCGTCTAGAAATTCGTGTGGTTCCCAAAGAAATTGGTTCTAAAGAGCGAAATATGAACAATAGGGCACCCTCTAATAACAACATAACTCCCACTTCACCTTCTCGTAAGCATGCTGGTTTTCGTAATGGTATCGAACATTCGAAATCGATGCCCGCTTGCGTGGAAATGGATAGGAACGTTATTATTATCGACAATGATAAACCACCAAGTCCCGTCAAGGATGAAGTAAACATAAATCGTTCACCGCCCAAACTGCGTCTCGAGAGAACTAAAAGTATACTAAAGCAAAGCAGTAAAGAACGAGGTGATTGTCCCGAATTGGCTAGTCCGAAACGAGAACATATAACCTTTGATCCCAAAGAAATAACAGTAAGACGTCGTAGCCCAGACGCAGATAGCAATAAGAAAAGTGAAAAACGGGTAAGTCTTGGGAAAGAAGTCGACTTCATGGAACATATACGTCAGACTGACGCAGATGCTCCTCCCACTGTTCTAAAACAACGGAGTTCAGAAAAAGAAGAACGTGTAAGTGTATTTCATTCTTCTTTATTAATGTACACCGGATTGATTTTGTTGTGTATTTGAGACAGTAATTCAATTCAACCTTCATTTTGACAGTTTAAAATAAAAAACAATCTTGAGTAATAAATTTTTTATCAAATCAATGAACAAAGAAGCATTTTCCTTATTGATTGATAGTTTGTATTCTGTGTGATAAAGTATGTAAACAAAAAAATAAATAAATTATGTATTTAAAATCCATGGAGACCAAGCGTCGACTTTTCTAATAGATAAAGTAAAAACTTTTATATCGTGGATTGCTTCTACATACTTATTATTTATCGGTAATAATGTTTTACTCATTATATAAATATTACCTAAAAGCAATTAGTATTACATTGTAACTGTTCACTTATTTAATTTTTTATTTTAAATAGGTGAACCAAAATGAAGAAAAAGAAAAAGAAGTAAAAGTAACCAGCGATATTAAAGTTGTGTCAGTTAGAAGTAGACCTCCAACTCCCATTCAGGTGAGTGATTCTGAAGATGAAGATGAGGAGGATGAAGAAGCCGATGAGGAAGAAGGTGAAAATAAGGCCACAAAACAAAAGCTAGAAACTGAGCAAAAGAATTCCGACAAAAAACACGATAGTGGTGTCGAGACTCAGAAGAACTCCGACTCTTTAAGGCAGCCATTTAATAGTGATCTCACTAGTTCCAATAAGTCGTTTGTTCAGTCAAAAAGATTAATAACAAATAACAATAATAATAGTTCCAGTCGACCACTGGTGGAAGGACTGCATCCAAAACTGATCGACAAGTTGAAGAGAGAACTGGACTCGCGTTCGGAAAGCAGTTCTAGCACACAAGAAAAGATAGTTGGCGGCGGTGGTGGTGGCGTCACTTCAACAACCACATATTCGATGAAGACACTTGTGCAACAAGAGGTCGAAACAAAATTAGTGGAGGTGCGTACACGCCAGCAAGGATCGCCACAATCGGGTGCTGGAGAGATAACATCGAATCCTGCGGGAACGTACGTGACAGCGACTAGTGTTCTGGAGCAAAGGTAAGATGTACAGTTACGTTAAATTTGACTTTGATTATGTATATACCTATTCTATAACGCATTCTTGGAGGTATTTTTCTCTTCTTCAAATGTGGACCCTAAATTTATTTTGGAAACGTCGAAATGACCTATTAAATTCTCAACAGTCGTCATTTTGGAAATTTTCAAATTATTGTATTTCTATTCCAAATAACTAAAACGCATTAATATTTTGAAAAAAAATCTTTTATATGTCCCGCATTGCGAAGACTCATAAATGTGATTGTTAAGGCATTGGTCTGATAACAATTATTTTGAAAACTGTTTGGACAAGAGCCAATCTTCGCATTTACTGATAACTATAACATTCCAGGTTCTTAACTAATTGCGAACAGTTCATCTGCCCCTCTTTACTCCTGCTTCTGCTTCTAATAGGTCCTTGACGTGTACATAACTTAACGTGTAAAAACTTGTCAAATAGATAGGTTTAGATGAAAAATCAAAAATAATTTAATACACATGTAAATAATGAGATTTTCTGTTTCCGCCTGATACCATTCCTTATAACATCCTATATAAAAATAAGTCAAATTTGCTAAGACGCGCATTAGTTTCTTTATTGCGTTTTTTGTAGTTATTTGGAATTGATCTAGGAGAGACAATAATACGAAAACGAAGTTCACAACAAATAGGGTTAATTAAATGGCAAATACTGCTTACCTGTAGTGCTGTAACTAAATCAGTTGCACATTTGATGTTAAAATATGTATAACTAGTCAGTGGTCTATGCAAAAATACATGTGCTTTAGATATTAGAGTTTCATACCGTTGTTTACAGTTCACAAAACAACAACTTAGCTAGCTCATGTATATTTATAAAAAAATGAAGTAAATTTCTTTTTGTAAAATATTTTCCAATGTAAAACTATCACAAAAATAAATTGTGAATAGGGAGTATAAATATGTTCATATATTTTCCATAACGAGTTAAACCGTTATAATTAACTAAATAAAGTTAAATGTCAAAAATTAATTTAAACAATTAAGAGTTCAATAAAAATTAACATCTTTCAGTACAGTAACTATAATGTCACAAAAATCATGTTTTAAAGAAATTTTAATTATTTATTGGAAAAAGTTGTAAAAATGTCGATAGCGTCGCTTTCTAGAAGCTTTTAGCGCACTCTGACGTTGCGGGCCTTTTTTTGTAGTAAAGAAAAACGGTCAGTAGCTAACGGAATTAGTCCCGGACTTGAGGAGCAGTCGGAGTATTTCGATGCGTCCGAAGACCCTCTACTCAAGGATAAACGACAAGAACAGGAAGATGAGGATAGTGGTGTAGATAATGCCAGCCAAAATCTGCGGGAAACGTCCGTAAGTGCTTGTAAATGACGCTTCATGTTACTTTAGTATTTATATTCAAGATTGATAAAGTTAAATAGTTTTTTGTATTGTGAAAAGTTTTAAATGTTATATTTTCTATTCTTTTTTTGTTATAAAAGGGAATATAAAGGAATATCATCTTACCATTTTAAATTACGGCCCATCTATTAACATTCATTTTCTATTAAAGTTCTTAAATGAATAATAAGTTCATTACATTAATTAAAATAGAATGTCGAAAACTGTCAACTCTTCTACTAATATGTTTTATTACTTATGTATCTTCTTTCTTATTAACACACTTTTTCTTAATTCTTACAATAAAGATACAGCATTTAATTGAACTTTACATATATGATGCTTTGCAAAAGAAAACAAAATTCAACTTGACTGATTAAAGAAATTCGAGAAAATCTAATAGAGTTCTGGGAATCTCAAGTAAATAAAACATAAAAACTCAAAATTTCATCTGAAAACCGCTCCGCGCCTTAGTTTCAATAAAGGTTCCGGTAGCCGTATTTTTATGGTGAAGTGTCCCCTAAGAGAAATCAATATTGTTACCTGTGCTATAATATAGATGAGGCTAATAGTAAATGAGACAAGGTATTAGCGCTCTATATTGGTTAGTCGTAGGGATATTTAAAAAAAGTAACCGATAACGACTTTTTTCAAAGCACAACCTTTAAGTAACTTCTAGAACTACGAAAGTAATACCATAAACAAATATCATGGTACAATCTACAGTTTATTTTACAACAGATTCCGGTGGATCAAGTCTAGACAATAATAAAAAAATTGAAGTAGAATTGTTTTCTTGTTAACAAGAAGGTTTTGTTAGAAGATTGAAGCTGCGGTTTCTGTTAGAAATAAACAAATTTTTGTTTTTTGGCCCATTCTAAGTAAAAAAGCCTTTTCGTATTTTTTCTTTAGGGCTTAGTTTTCGTTTTTCAACTCACAAGTAAATATATATTTTTATAAAGTTATCTGATAGAAATGAATCGATAAATGTTTTATTTGTATTTTTCTATTATTTCTATCTAGCATTTGAAAAAAACGTCGTTTTGGGCACTTCTTTTGAAATGTCTACAACTAACCATGAGACAGAGGTAATATCTTTTGTGTCAACTACTATTTTGTAGTTTTATATGTCGAATTAAAGTTGAAATTTTCAGATCCATTGAATTTTTCTAGTGATAAAAATCCAAATGAAATGGAAATATTGTGTGTATAAGCAATTATTACCGCTAGTTCCCATTAACATGTCCTTTTATTATACATTGTCATTTTCATTTATTTCGTTCGTACTCACATGATGCTTTATAGACCGAATATTAATTTACACATTTTATTTCAAATCGTTACCTGTATCATTATAATTATATCTATGATAGTTGAATTTCAAAAGATCCTTTACGTTTATAATTAAAGTACACGACAAAGAAGATTATAAACCAATGCCGCAAATAGTAGTAGTAATTTGTGAAGGATATTGATGTTCTATTATATATTTATTTAGTTATATACTACATCAGTGTGAATAAATATAAACAGCATCTTTTAAATTAACTTGTTTAATAACGTTTGCATGTCTATGAATACGTATGTTTTGAATGACAAATTATGAAAATGATTCGATCTTCTTTTACGCATATGTCGTTGAATAAAAATAAAGCTTGAAAATATACTATCTTTATAAAAAATATAAACTCCCAAAGAACTGAGATTAACAAGAAATTGATTTTAATGTTTAAAATATTTACTACACTTTGGCTTTTGGGCTGATTGCATATAATTTAATGACATGTGAGAGGTATCCTTACATTGCTGTTAACAGCAACAAAATCAATGTGTCCCTCAATATTGCTCCAATCAATCCCATACTTAACAGTATTTCCATATTTGTATGCGTTCTTGAAATATAACGGTCGTTTAATTTTTTCTGTTTTGTTTTGTATTTATTTTTTTATAATTAATGAATTAGTTTGAAAACTAATATTAGGGTTGAATGTTAGGGTTGACAGTTGACGATATGGACAAAAATTAGTGTAACAGTAAAACAAAATTGAAGTATTATCTGCTTGCGTGCATATGTACCTATATTCTATGTAAAGCGCGTGGCTAGATAGACGGCTTTCATTTTACGTTGTGAATTACTTGCTTCGTAAGGTCAGTCCGGCGCCGGACGGGGGAAAAACTTCAAAAATTCCAGTAGCTGTAAGTGGTCAGAGACTTGCCAAATGCATGTCGTGGTCGGGTGATCTCACTCCCGGTCTGCGGCGGCGACGCCAAGGCGAGAAGTACGTGAACGATCCGAGCGAACTGAATCTCAGGTTTCAGCGACGCTCTACTTTGGGAGGTTAGTCCTCTGTTGCTTTTGCTTCGCATAGGTTTTCGTATTTACATCGTTCTGCTATTAAACACTGCTATCCAATTTTTCAGTTGCTTTTATATAAATATGTACAGGCTATATCAAACTTCAGCTTGGATTGGTTGTAAAGTTATTTTAGGACTGTTCTGTCGTTGTCCACGTAATCCTTCTCCCAACCGTTTTGTCGTTCTTCGCCAACGAATATACAAAACGTTTGAAAGAGACACGGTAGAACAGCTGCAAAGAAGTTTACAATCAGTAAATAGTATACAATATCTGCCTATATAATCGATTTGCGTAGAAATCGTATTATATTCCATTTTCACTTTTTGTTTTCAAAATTCCTCACATTCATATCAACAGAGATAGTAATAGGCATTTGTATGCTGTCTAGGAGTTTAGCATGAGTATGCCGAAAGACCACAATTGTTAACTGTATTTATTAATACCGTATCTGTCCCTGTTATTGTAAATTCTTACAACTTTATTTAACCAACTTTTATGTCGGCTTGGCTTCTAAATACAATTCATGTAGATTGTATATTGGGTTAATTCATTTTTTTTTGTTTCTTTTCTCCTTCGAATTGGTTTAATAGTTGGAAGAGTATATGTGAAATGAACTCTGGTCCAAGAAGAGTTCGTAATGTTGGAATTCGTAGTTTATGAGACACAATTATACTTCACAATACATTTCTTCTACACTAAAGGAACGGTTTTCACCTTCTTTAGAGTTTTTATTAAGTGCATTTCAAATGTAGGTAAAGCTTGTAATCCCTTAGAACTGTGAATGGAAGGGATGGGCGGCAACTATATCGAAAACGAAATTAGTGCTACCTATACAATTGCTAGTTGAATATGCGTTTAATCAGACTTATATATAATTACAACGCACATATATACTCTATTTTAATCACTGTTTTTTTACCACCTGAGGCGAAAAAATATTGTGTATTAACTTACAATTTTCCATGATTTTCTTATGGAAAACTAACTAGAACCACTACAATATCGATATTATGAGCTCTATTTGCACAAGAGTTTTTCTCATATGTATTTGCCAGTATGCCTGTTAAAAAAAAAAACAAAAAAGATTTGAATCATCCTATAGTATATACTGCTTCTTGTATAATGAGAAAAGTAGCAACCAGTGTAGTATCAGATCAACTTTACACTTTTTATAATATATTTAGCAATCAACATGAACTCGTTTTGTTTCCGTCCTTAAATGAAAATCAGGATACAAAAAACCTAACATATACATACTTATGCAGATCGTTATATATTAAAGATACGTGTATTAAAAACAAACATGATTATTTTACAGATAGGCATTTATTTCAAAATCCCGGTGTTGATTATTCTAGGTTTATTTCTTCGTAATTGTACCACATGTATTATGCAATTTTTTATATGAATAAATTTTTACCACTACAGATAACCCCAATGTATTGAAGAAAAATTGTTGGTGCTGTCACGTCTTCGCCGGGAATCGAATCTGTGTCCATGCAGTAGCCTCTCGTAGCTTAGTAGTAGAACAATGGTGCGGGTTCCATTCCTGGCGTGAGCGTGATAGCAGTTATATTTTTTTCTCATTAATTTGAGGTTATCTGTAGTGGTAAAAATTAATTCACTTTAATGTTCTTTGTTTGTTCATACAGTGAAAATCACTCAGGAAAAAATGACGCATATTTTCATGTAATTTTAGATTTTCAATTTATTATTTTATATATANATATAAGAAAATATAAACGTTTCTCCTAAAGTAAACGGTATTGTGGAGTGGCGAGCTTCTTCCGAGTTCCTCCACACCGGCGACGGTCTTTATACCGAAATCAGGATAGCATTAGCTCATTTTATTATTTAATTGAAAAGAAGGGGAGACCACTTTTAGTCTCTTTTTTATCTTATAAGTTTGATTGCTCGGTAAATATCGTTATTTAGTTAATTTTATAGGTAATTTAGTAATGTAATCACTTTTTATTGAGATATTTGTAATAGCTAATTGAAGTTGGTCGAATGAAGTTAAAGTGCATTACCCTAGCAATAGTTCGACATTATTTGTATTGACTAAACTGTGTATTTTTTTTATAGGTAATTTAGTAAATTAATCACTTTTTATTGAGATATTTGTAATAGCTAATTGAAGTTGGTCGAATGAAGTTAAAGTGCATTACCCTAGCAAAAAAAGTAAACATGAAGAAAAACATGGGCAACCAGAAGTCCACAATCAACCAAATAAGGTTATAATTACCTTAATTGTTTTTCATTTTTAGTAGTTTTGCTAGGTCATGTCCCTTCATAAGTTCATTCGACGTTCAGATATATTATCATCTTCTGCATTTGTACAAGTCAATTTCAAAAGTGCGTCAGTTAAGTACCTACTATTACAGAATTACATATAAATACATATTTAATAGCGTTAAAAATCTTATTTAAATGTCTGTTCGTATAGTGACAGCTATAAATTCGGTTAGTATATAAACCATAAAAAAAATCAAAATTCGTTACATAGATATTTCGTTTGAACAAACAGCAAGGTATTTACAAGTAATAATTAGGAATAGAACGTGTCATTTACTGATGCCAGTTTTTTTTAAATGATTTGATCACAAACAAAATCGAAATACTTACTTGATACACTTGTTCTCATTATAAATTATCGTTTACATCATTCACATAAATTTAACGTTTTGCATATTCTGAAGGTGCTCGTGTAAGAGGAGTTCCCACTTGTCTTATAGGAGCAGCTCCTGAGAGTTCACCTGACACGTCCGGCGACGGTCCCGCCCCTCCTCCGCCACCACTGGGCGAGCCCATCCAAGAGAGCCAAGTGAGATGCCGACGATTTAGACCTGTGACGTAGTAACGGGGAGTGTGCCATAATATTAAGTGTTTTGCGCCGTGCCAGTATGGCCGACAAGAATTTGTGAATAATATTTATTTATGATGATATTTTTGTCCCGATTTCGTGATTATATTGAAGTTACAAGGCTATGATTAAATTAAATGTAAATATAAGTAACAAATTCCCCACAAAAAAAAATAATTGTGACCGTAGAGTTGAAACCATACACATTTCTAAAAAATTTGTCTGTAATACGTATATGCACAATTGCATTTATAGATTGCAACATTACTTTGCATTTTAAATTGTTTTAGGCGCTTGGGCTGGTAAACGTTTTGTTGGCGTTACAGTATATCACCTATTTTTTCTTCTGTTTTTAAAAAAAATTCATGTCTTATTGTGATCCGCTGATGTTGCTATGTTTCTTCTGCGAACAAGCTAAAACTATCCCTACAAAAAATTTTATTTGTGCATAAATATTAAACGTATAAAAAAATAAAATTTTTTAGTTTGATATTAAAAATGATCACACTTTTACGTATTTTGTAATTATCTACTTATTTATTCAATCTTGCATAAAACTTTGTCGAAAGTCACTTCTTGTGGTATGATTGCAATTTACATTTTCGCATGAAAGTTAAAATGGCCTTGTCAACTTCGATGTAAACTGAGCTTCGAAACGATGTGATGTTCATACATACTCTTAAAAATACTTTGTAATTCTGATTCTCAAAATATAGACTTTTAAGATATTATTACAAGATTAGAATCTAGAGGCCGGAATTTATAGCCGCAGAACATGAAAATAAAAGAAACATAACTTCATAAATGTGATTTTGAAAACTGTTTGGACAAGAGCCAATCTTCGCATTTACTGATAACTATAACATTCCAGGTTCTTAACTAATTGCGAACAGTTCATCTGCCCNTCAGACATTTTGTCATAGGTTGAATTATTTCGGCAAAATTTTTAATAAATCTTCGGTAATATCCTATGCTTGATGTTTGTTGGTACCGGGTAATTTTTAATTGTCTTAATTTTATAAGGATTAGGTAATATCCCTTTTGGTGACCTAAAAGTTGCACTTCTTTGCGATGGAATTCACATTTATCCCGCTGAAGTTTTAAATTGCATTTCTTAAACTCTTCAAATATAAGTTTTAGATGATCAGTGGGAGTAGGAATGAGGGCTAAAGGGTAGAGATGAAAAATTAAAAACTTAACTTAATCTTACAAACTAAAAAAAACTTTTGGAGTGATTTTTACCTTCGTGGGTTCCAAACAAAAATCACCTCCCCGCTTGCACCTAGAACTACTACAGAGACATCTCTACTCCCACCACGGACGGTAATCTCAAGTACATGATTACCATTTCCAATTTTCACTTCGCCCCCGCCTTCACGTCTCTGTCCCGTATAAAAATTTCTATAGTATTCTACAAGGTCTTCAGCAACTCCAGCTCTTTTTCTTCCAATCCGAGAAGGATTCCAAACATATATATATATTTACAGAGGTAACTTTTGGTGCACTGCGACCTTTATTTCATATTGCTACATTATGGCGTTGAACGTCTGTTGTATTTTTGTTTATATCTAGAAAAAAAATTAGAAGCTCTTTAGCGCCTCTACCATTATTGTATAATTAAATAACGAAAAGTACTTGTTTAAAAAGTGTAGTGCAGGAGTATGTAATTACACCCTGTGTAAAGTAACAGACAGTCCCACATTAACGTGGAAGTTTTTTGAAAGGTGATAAAAATGTGCCCCGTTATAAGTTATTTTCGATACCAGTCGATGAGAAACGTGTCTGAATGATCTTTGTTTGTCCTTTTGTTTTTTTGTTTTTGTGGATCAAATGTGCTTAAATTTTTTGAAAAAGTTTTAGGACGTAATTTTTAAGCAAATCTAGTCTAATGCGCTTTTAAGTGTTTTAAAAGTGCCCACCGAGACTCTAGTCGTTGTTCTTTATTTTGTAATGATGGTTCGTATGATGAACTAAGTACTCTTAATAAACAAAGATATTACGTGAAGTAAGTATTTAATATAATGGAAATTGTTATTTATTTTACAGCTTATTTATATACATATTGCTGTTTATGACGTTTTTATTTTTGTTTTATCAGATTTTAATTTTGTTTTTATGTACTTCTGCTGAATATTTGTAAATTGGAGTTATATATTAAATTTTATTAAATTATTTGCTTTTATTACATTTGTTTTTATGGATACATATATACAATATCATTTTTGCAAAATCAAACGTATCCTTCTGTCTCAACTGAATTTATAACCTTTACTTCAAAAATTGTAAACTTGCAAAATTCAATAAAATGAAATAGCAACATCTTATTTTGAAAATGTAAAAAATCGTTTTCTTAGTAAAATAAAAAGATTTAGTAATAAACTAATTAAAAAAGTAACGCATTCACATAAAGTTAGGAAAAAAGAGAACAAGGTATAATTTCACATAAGAAACTGCGTATGGCAAAAGAATGAGTTCATTTTCGAGGAAAACTAGGATTCCAAGATTCCTATAAAATGAAGTGGTCTGTTTGTAGGTGGTTTAGAACCTACATTTATACTAGTGACAATTTTTTTATTGAAACAAATAGAAGATAAATAATATGTTACTATAGAAATACACTTAGAATTTCGGACTTCTATGTCTTTATTTATTATACCGTCACAACGTTTCTACTGTGTAATATCCCCAGTCGTCATCAGGTAACTAATTGTAAACTTAAAACTACGGGATTTATATAGATAAATGATCATCCGGGAGTTTCGTTTAGGTTGATTGTCTGCATTTCCGGTTTTACTTTCAACAGTGGTTTTCATATGTTGCTGATTTCCACACTTGGATGGCAAAACATTGATTGTTGCTGGATGTATTCGTTTTCGTAAGATAGCGTAGCAGAGTCTCGGACGAGTAGAAGGTTGTTTTTATACCAAAATGGTTAGCCAATCTTGTCGCATATTCCTTTTATGTATGGTAGTCGTAGTCATTATTTGGCCTCTTGATTTTTGAATTTTGATCCTTAGATTTCATATTGCTGTAATATGTTACTTTCCGGCTTGTTCCATATGGTGACTGCTCAGTGGTATAAGGTCTTTATTACTCCTCGTACGGATTATTTGAAGCATAATCGAGATATTGCCCCGTGTTTGTTGGTTTCCGATACCCGGATGTCTCGAGTTTCATAAACTTTTTTCATAAATTATATTCCACGCTATATTGCATTTTCGGTCATATGTGGCCAATATTTGTATTATGTATGACCACTCACGTCATTTTGCGTGAAGTCTGTAATAAGTTGTATGCTTGATAGAATGACAGCCTCAGTCAAACAGTGCGTTATATTTACGTTGTTTACTAAACATTAAATTGTAAGAGGCATGGCTGCTTTTTGTGTTATTACCTTACTTTCTTTATCATACTCAGCGAGTCGAATTTTCCATCGTTCAAATCTTGAATTTATTTCTTTTGCTGTGATTAACCATTTTAAAGGTTGATGATCTGTTTCAATAATAAAACGTTTCCCAAATAAGTACAGCCTAGTACTTGTTTTTCTTCTATAGTTGCGTAAGTTCTCTCAGGTGTATTGAGTGTGCGTGAGTAGAACGCTATAGGTTTTCCATTTTGGGACAAAACGGATCCAATGGTGTAATTACTTGCGTCTGTCGTTGATATAAACGTTTTTGTAAAATCGGGGTATGCCAGTACCGATGTGTTGATTGTCAAATCATTGCATTTTCCAAGACACTCTAGATAATTTTTATCTGTAGCATCTGTTGTAGCATTCTTTTTCAGACATTTTGTCATAGGTTGAATTATTTCGGCAAAATTTTTAATAAATCTTCGGTAATATCCTATGCTTGATGTTTGTTGGTACCGGGTAATTTTTAATTGTCTTAATTTTATAAGGATTAGGTAATATCCCTTTTGGTGACCTAAAAGTTGCACTTCTTTGCGATGGAATTCACATTTATCCCGCTGAAGTTTTAAATTGCATTTCTTAAACTCTTCAAATATAAGTTTTAGATGATATAAGTGGTCTTGTAAGAATCTCGAAAAGATAATAACGTCATCCATATAGGTACACAAAACAAAACTTATTTAAATATTTTCTAAACACATTTTCCATAGCTCTTTCAAGAGTTGCGGGTGCATTCTTCAATCCAAAAGGCATTACTACTTATTCAATTGTCTACTGTGAATGCTGTCTTTTGCTGTCCTTAGTCACTTCAATTTGGTGAATGAATAATAATAAAAATGAAAGACGGAGGGTTTGGATGGGTAATTTCGTTGAAAAATTAAAAATTTGGGGTTTGATGTAAGCTTTTGGTAAAGAAAATAATTTGACGTCGAATGCTGTTCTCGATGTCGGAAAGAGACATTTACAGTTTGGTTGCATACAAGCAAAAAATAAAGGAATAATCAAAAGGTACTCACAAACTTAGGTAGAGAAAGGTGATGGCACGATGTATTTCCTTTCCACCGGAAGTTCCTAGAAATGCTCATTTTCACTGAAAGTCTCATGAAGATGGAATTTCTTTCCCTGGGATTTCACATCTGTAAAACCGGACTGAACTTTCGCGATGTTTTCAGCACTTTTTCGCGATGAAACTACTATAAAAATGAATTTTTGTTTAAAACAAAAATCCGTTTTTTTTAAAAAACAGAAGAACTTTATTTAAATAAAATTTCAAAATTGACTCACAAATAAGATGTCTCGAGGATCAATACACTTGTATAAGTAAATAAGTAATTCTGGACACGAGTATTTATATACCGTGTTCTGCGGATATTACAGAAAATGTATAAAATCTTTATTTTATCGGAACAATAGATTTCATTGCTCATTATACAAATGCAACGCAGTGCATAAGTAGTACAATTTCTTTGTATTAAAAACAGACTAAATACATAACTCGCGAAATCTAAATTTTTAGCGTGCAAGTTTGTTACCTTGGATCCACATTTATTAGTTTGGATTATTAGATAGGACACACTTTTAATAACCAAAAAACAAACAGTACAACTAAGTGTATTTTATAATTAAACATTAAAACGACTGTTTTATTTTCAATATTTAATTTATTCTTATTTATTTACAGCATATATATCTTGTAAATACAGTTATCATCATTTAAAAACATCTTCATAAAGAAAGATCGTAAATATATAATAGGTACGTTTTGTTTACTATGTACAAAAATAACTAAATGATCAATTAAAATAGTACCTCCAAGGAAAGACAAATATCAGTCTCACAAATTAAGAATAAATGCACTAACCGCATAAACCCTTACGTAATAAAATAAGGATTAAAAAATATTTTTTTAACCTTGAAACTCATATTACATTTACGCCCATTCCTATCATGAAAGTCACTTCAATGTGATATTTTAACTGACGATGAGTTAACTCGATCTGGAACTATTAGATATTACTTTTATACAAAAATTAATTAGGTCGAGTAGCTATTTTACTGACGGTCCAAAATGTAAAACATGTGCTTGACTATAAATAGTACATGAAATTATACTTTTTCTTTTAAAAATATAAACACCTGTTTATTTTAAGTACACGTATAAACTGGCAGTTTTGTTAAAGGTATTTTGCTAATGCGGAAGGCATTAAGGGCTCTCATAAACCCAATGCATTAATTTTGCGTTCTCTCGCAGAATTGGTAATAATTTCCCAGGTCGTCAGATTTTTTTCACTCGTCAGAGTATCAATTCAGAACCAACCATCGTTTCCTGTCCGTGAACGCTGCCGTATTTTTGAAATAAAAAGGGGATTTTCCAAAGGGTATTGGAGTTGACGTCGAAGCTTAATCTTCGGCTTTTCTTTTTACTGCTTTTAGAGGTGGCAGTTCACTCTTTGCTCGTAAGTAACCATCAAGTCGAGCTGCAGCATAATCCTAAAACACAACAGAATTGTAAAGATTTCCTTATTTTTGTAATAGAAATACCTTAACACAGTATTTACTCGATAGGGTGAACCAAAAAATACCATTGTTCGCATAATTTTCTCATGTTAACGAATGTTATATTAATTATGTAACCAATAAACGCCTCTAATTAACAAAATAAACATACATAAAAGTCTAAAACACTAATCATTAATAGATAGCAACGGATATAGAAAGCAGTACCTATAGAAATATTATTTTTACCAAAGAAATCAGAAATTTTCATATATTTCTGGTTTTATTTAATTTTCTGTATAATCTCTTTTTCTCTTAAAATTGTTTTGTTTTGTAACTAGCAGGACGGTAATGCCGACATCATTCGCTTCTGCATATAAAACGCCTAACAATTTAATTACTAGACAGTTCAGCATTTGCAGAATAATAACATATCTAATAATTTTTAAAATACTTACTCAATTTTCTAATACCTATTTTAATTTTTTTATACTTTCAAATTTTCTTAAAAAGTTACATATGTGCTTTAAATAACTATCTATAATTTAGATAAAGTACATCTCTTCACTTACCCAATATCCAAAAGTAATTTGAGAATCGGTGTTGACGATTCCCCAAAGTGACCAAAAGAAATGTGAGGCAAGAGTAAAAACTTCAACTTCCTTTAGAACCTTTTTGGGATTTTCTTTCGATCCCACTTCGTTCAAGTACGTTTTAATAAAGCGCAGTCTTTGTGCTTCAGAAGGATAATTGTCTGGGCATTCCTCGAAATATGGAGGTTCTTTGAATGTATAATCGTATAGCCATTCGGCAAAGTGGTTTGCAATGTCGAATGCCCTATAGTTATAAGAACAATACTCGAAATCTAAACAAAAAATTAGTAAATTAATCGCCTAAAAGAATTTTTATTAACCCAATAAATCAAATTAACCTATTAATTTATTTTTCTATTACACTCAGAATAAACGAAATACCGTTTCCTAATATTCCACAAAAAAAAAAACGCACATCGTTACGGAATTTAAGGTGACTATGTTCCGTTTAGTTTAATTCCACTAAATTCGATTTGATTTTCTTTTACTTTATAGAATAAAATATTGTACTCACTCACCAATTATAACAATATTAGGGTTTCCATTTTGATCACACTCGCCGTTTTCTGCTACTAATATGTTTCCTTCTTGCATGTCATTGTGGCAGAAAACGACTGGACTATTTTCAGCTTCGATCCTTTGTTTAAGCCAAGCAGCTTCTTCCTTAAAATCGAATTTGGCAAGACGTTCGACTTGAGGGGGTACGTTACCTTTCTGTTTCACTTCCACAGTTTTTATCCATTTATCTATGGTGTCCCAGAGCCAGGTAGCGGCTTTATGTAAAGGCACCTGAAAGATTTTAAACACTGTAGTTGAATTCCTTTAGATCCAATAAAAAATTTAAACATGTTTTCCGTTTTTATACGACAAATGGAAGTTTTATGATGAGATGTTGTGTTTATTAACTTCAAAATGAGAAATATCAAATGAATAATTAACAGAAAACATGTTCAAATATGATAAATGAATGAAAATTCCTACGCTTGCCGGTTTCCTTCAGGAGGGTGGAAACAAACAATACGTTTTAGGGCCCAATTGGACGACGGTAGTGTTTGTTCCGCAACAAGTGATGCTAAAACATGGAAAACAAATACACCTGCATGTGTGGGATTCGATTTTTGTTAGCCCATACTTTAGATAAGTGTCATTTTTCTTTTTCACAAAACCGCCAATTAAAAAGAAACAAATCAAAGATATTAAAAAAATAGTCGTTAACCAAATTAATCATAATTAAATGACAATAATAACATGGTAAGTAAAAACATTATAAACAAATTTCTCTATTGATATTGTTTTATACGTACAATATACATGTTCGGCCCTTCAAATTTATAAACAAATGTTTATAAAACGCAATAGTTTTCTGATGCAGTAACTAATAATTTTGAATTGTGCAAAAAGTTAGAGGGAGTTATCATGAGAAATTTAGAAACAATATAACAATCTGATAATGACCTGTAATACAACTATGTCGAATGTACCAGAATGTATTTATTTTCAAATTAAAAATCGACGTGTTTTGCATCATAAGGTCACCTTCAATAGACAATTGAACCTTTCCTGTCCCATGGATTTTCATTCCCAACAGTCCTGCCTTTTCCATTAAGTCCATGAACCCTTCACAAAGAACTTCTGTTCCAACACCAACAAGTTCAATCCATCCAAAATCAAGTAAATTTGAATAACAAATGCAAATTGGTACATTCGCAAAGTTAACAAAAACAGTTAATTTCCATCAAACATAAATTATGATTCTCTTGACAACTCCATATCCATCCTCCAGCTTAATTTCAAAATACAGACACTTTGTAGCAAAGCACCGTTTAAACATTAACAAAAGTTGATTTCAAATAAAATTTTTTTTAATTTCACTAACGTTAAGTTTATAAGAAATTTAATAATAATCTTTACTCTATTATTATTACCTTTTGCTATCTAGGCACTGCAAATGAACAATTTTGTTAATTGGCCTTGAAGAGAAACGTAGATTATTGATATTTACCACCAATTTAATAAATTAAAGCGATATAAGCTACTTTACTTAAAACACATTAAAGAATTTCAAATATGTTACCAAGTTTAGCCTAACTTATAAATACCTACCTTATCACTTTAAACTGTCATGTTTTGATAAATATCTTTTTAATTTTTCTTATCATACTAATAAAAATTATAATACTTTTGAGAAAACAAAAAGCTAGTTTAATCAGTTCGCTTTCTTCGTAATCAACTATATTTTTTATGTAGGTATTTAAGTATTTATGTAAGTTAGATATTGATGAGATTATTGAATAACGAATTTTCTAGAATGCTTGGAATGACAAATAGATACAATACGGAATGATTCGGTGTAATCGATCACTTCATTAAATTCCAAAACATTTAAATCAAATAGACAAACAAGACCAAAAATACTATTTCTCCTTTTCTTCATCTCTGAGAAAAGTACTAAATAAAGCTTTAAGAATCCTGAAAACTATGCAATGGCTTAATGAAAACTCTTGAAGGTCATTTTCTGTTTGACATGAATTTGCGTTTTCGAATAATGAGACAGGATAGAGGAAAGAATAGACACATGTCCTCCAACTGTATTATTTTGTACAGATGTAAAAACATTGTTTTCCTGCACAAGTTATCTATTTTACGAGCACAATCAATGTTGATGCCCTAATTATTGACGAAAGAAGTATTTTTAGACCTTTAACTAAATAATAACGTCCAACTAGGTCAGTCTTCCCATCTTATAAATGCGAAACGGTACTGCATACGTGATCTAAACAGTACACCATATAATTATTACAACATGTGTTTATCTGCGCATACTTTACGGAAAAATTTCGAAATAAACAAACCATTTTATCTGGTTATATCCAGTATCAGGCACAAACAGTATCAACAGCATTTCCAACTTCCGTGTGGAAAATTTTCATTCCATTTTATTCACATAATCGGTTTACAGTTTCTTATCATATTAGAGAAATATGTACGTGCCACAAGTGCGGGTTAGATTAGATACGTATGATGCTGAAGTGGCGAATAAAGGAATGTATTCTCCTAACAAATATCTAAATGTAAATAATAATTGTCATTTACATCAAAAGTAAAATATTATATTTTATTGTTTACCTACAATTTCAATAAGATCGGATCTTTCATATTTGTACGTCTCAGTTGCATAATATGTATATTCCAAGCATTTTTACATTTTTACGAAATGATTATGTAAATAGAATATTAATACGGTTTTTCAGTTACTTTTTATGTGAACATTACATTATTAATGCAAACTTCATGACAGAGAATTGCTCCATCTCTAGGAAGTATAGGTACTATTTCTTCTCCTAATTTAAGCAAATCGAAATCGTGGATTATCACACTGTCAGATTTAATATCACTATAAACAGGATATTCGATAAATAATCAATTAAACTCGACTAATACGAAAATAAAGAATTAAAATCACCTAAAGTTTCAAAATCACAGCCTAACCTTCACGAGGTGAACAACCTAAAAAAACACTTTTTGTCTTAGAAACTCTTCTAAAAGCGTTTATTTGAAGTCACTCAAAGCAGGTACGTAAAAAAATTAAGAAGTCGACTAGTAAAATGATTGTCTTAAATATTATAACAGATTTAAGGTATACACTTGAAGAAACTTTTTGGTGATTATATTATTAAAACAAATAAGGATGAAACAAATTAAAATTAAATCAATTCTAAAACAATTTTTATAACAATGTGATTTGTTATTTATTAGAAACCTACACAATTGCAGTTTAACTTTTAACACGTATTTAAAGCGTTCATTTTCTCATTATTACAATATTTTAAATCGGTATAGGTACTTTATTTTTCACTTTGATAGCAGCAATAACCAACAATCACAAAAAAGGCGACGACGTTCCTGATACCACAAGGTTGTTGTATCGTATGTTGTTATTATGTCCCGTTTGTATTGACAAGTCTAAACATAGATTTGAAGTGAAAGCTGATTTGATATCATTTTACTATTATTTTATACTTTTAATAATAAATTAGTTGGATAGAATATCAATAAAGAAAGAGATATGTTGTTAATAAGAGAATTTTTGTTAAGTAAACATTTTCTTTCAACTAATTATTGTGTTGTTTCTTCTAAATAGGCCATGTAAATTTATTTGACATACTTATTCTAAAATAAAACTGGTTTTATTATTTTAGATACCTTCTTACATTTATATTGTTGCGGTTTTGTACCTTAGTTCCTGCTTAATTTTATTTATCAATATATCGAATCCAAAAATAAGCATTTTTTAGCATATTGTACGCATGTACATTATTATAACTTCTAAATTTAATGATTCCCAAAGGCAGTTAACTAAAATTTTTGTATTCTGATTACGTTTCTATATTTAGCTCAATTGGTCGAATTACCTATGATATTACACATATTTTCTTTAATATTAAAAGCATCCACTACGATTTAGTTAAGTACGGGCTAACGTATACGTTAAAAACAAAAATAAAAAAAAAGACATAAGAGGCAAGTAGTTATTTCGAAATATTTTAATATGACATACCTCCATGCAATGAATCGCAGCAATTTTCTTTGCAATAAGGACCGATAACGTATCGTCAGCTAATTCTCTAAGCTTCAGAGGTCTTGCTTTGATGTACTCCTCAATTCTTCCACCTGGGAATATTCCATGAAGTTTTGGTCCCAATCCTCGTTCTGACAAAAGAGTGAATATAACACTTTCGGTAATGAGAGCCTCAAGCGCCCTCTCTCCGTGAGTTTGACCATAGAAACGAATAAGTACTTCTTTTGGACACAGATGATTTTGCTCTTTCTCAATTAAATCTTGCGGTAATGATATGTAATATAAAAGGTTCGATAGACCTCCGCTGTAGACAAAGAAAATAATGTAGATTAATAAATATTATAGGCTAACCTTTATTTTACCCATAATTAGTATTAAATTTTTGCAATGCTTACCTAGGTAAATACCGTTTCAGGGTCGTCTGACCAATGTCACAACTGTTACCCTTTCAAATATAATGTGTGCAAGTACTGTTACCGGATGTATTATAATTTTAAGGCTTATGCATGTCAGCACTTAAACGAAAAGAAATTTTGTTTTTAAAATACCACTGATAAAACACCTTGCACTGCAATTATGCTAAATGTAATGTTAAAATTTAGCGTAACATAAATAAAACTGTTTCAATGGAAATTTGATCGGTACACAGGGTTTAACAGAAATAAGTACCGAGCTTTCAGTAAGCGATAGAGCACTATAAAATATAAAAATTATGTAAACGTTTGTATATCCAAAAGTTCATCGTTGTTGAAAGTACAGGTAAATTCAATTCCGGCACTGGTAGAAAATACGGCCCGCAAAGCTGTACTCAATCAACATTACTATTACTATTACTAGCATCAGGGTAATATTTATTTTTATGTTATTTATTATTTATTTATTTTTTTAGTTCAATAAACTAATTCAACAATGCAACATCAATCTTTAGAGTAAGTACCTACGTATGTCACTGTAGAACAGTTCTTGTTACAATAATATGACATGATACTTCGAAGACAATCCTAAATATAGTAAACGCGAAATAACAGGGAACGTTGACTCCTTTCATGTGACAGTGCAGCAAATTTTAAAGGAACAGTTGCTGCATCCTTGTAATTTGCAACGAGTGCTGCATAGCCTATTCTTTTCTAGAAACAAATTTGCTTCACGCGGGTTGTAATTTTGAATTTTCACAATAATTACTGTTGTTGAGACGCAATTTAAATATCGTACATTCTTTCAAGAACTGTTTTCGGTAATTGTGTGGTGCGAAATTTTTGGAGACTTGGTAGGTTTACTCATAACCACCCGCAAAAAAAGGTAACACACCTTGACAATACTTCAACAATGGTAGTGTTTTTACATTTATAGTGCTGCCTGTAATATACTTATTTAATTTGTTTAATCTAAACATTAAAGGGGCACTGAATTGTTTATGTTCTTCTTATACGTTCGATAATCGGCAACGTTTACATTGTCTGTCGATGAAGTTGTCCTTGAGTGTTAATTGTAGTACACTATATTGTGATTGTCTAAAAATTTTTTGCCCTTAATCACGTTGTTGAACTCACCATGCGATTGCTTACTACATCTAGTTTACACCCTCCGCACTTATATCTGTTACACCCTCTATATGTACCTACACTTAAATATTACTCTCTATCAAAATCTCTCTTTCACGAATTTAGACGAATCAGATTTGGCCAGCAAGAATAGTAAAACTCTTGCTATTGGGATCCGTAAAATGGGAGGAGCCTAAAAACATGGCGCCGATTAGGGAATATTTATCGAAGTTCCTATAGTGTTCTGTGCAATTTCCAAGTTTTTAAATTACGATAAAATGATAAGTATTGACACAATATGTGTTTGGGCTGACACAAAGCCTCGGAAAGGAAATTTCGTTGAAGGTGAGCGTGTTTTTAATGCCAATCACATTATAAAATTCGGAAATAACAAATCCGGAAGCTAGCCTTCAAATTCCGTCAAGTTTACTGCCTACTTTTTACAAACTTCGGATTTAAAAAGTGATTCACGTTATATAATTGGTGAGGTGATTCTGGGTGATTTAAGCAATATCATATCAATGACTTGCACGTGCAAAGCCGATTTAAGAGAACGTTGCAAACACATTATTGCAACTTTGTTGTATTGCAGCAGGTAGGTTCTTAACCTCAAAATACTTATATCGTATCATTAGAATTGTGTTAAATCAATTACACAGGAATAAATAATTTCTCACTTTATAATTTTAGTATGATTCTAGTTTTAAATATTAAGGTTATGGCTGATGGTAAATACTTGCTGAAATATAATCATGTGCATTAAAATGACGTGAACAAATTTTTATTCCGGAATTCACTTCTTTGATACCTACTGCTTTCATCCAAGCTTCTATTAGTTTACTTTTTTCTCTAATTTTCCGAATATATTTTTTACATATATAAAACGGTTAGTTTTTATTGGAAAGTAGTTAATGTAGGTGAAGAGTGAAGATCTATGTCTGAAGTGCTATTGCAGCTTTTCACTGAACATATTAACTTTTTATTTGATTTAACTTTAGAAGAAAACTTCGTCGACTCCATCATCAAAAAAATTTTTACTTTTTTAACGTGTTTTATTATTTTAATAAACAATTTTACAATTTGCGTGCACAGTTCATATGTAAATTTTTCCCTCATTCGAGTTATAAATTTTGCCACCAGATGGTGTATGCCCATTTGACGGATCCCAATACACAAGATGAGAGGGAAGGCAGTAAGAAATTAACAATACAAGAAGTTAACAAGCAATACAAAAAATCTTGTTTTATGCACCATTATTAAAGGCATAGTGCAAATGAGAAATCTAACGAGTGATATCTATATAAATGAGTGAGGCACATAATTAAATAATTGTCGAAACAACTAAGGATGTATACCTCCTACTACATGCATACTGTGTTACTATGAATAAATAAATTGCTTATATACAAGGCTTGTTTAAACAATTAGAGTAATACTTGAAAATTCCTTACAATTTCTTTGATTTGCATACCGTATTTGATATGCATCAAAATAAAGTGCTACCCAATTAGAATACAAATACAACAGTTTTAAAATATTTGCTTTAGATTAAAAATTTGAAGAAAAAAAAAGCATTTCCTACAATCTAAAACAGGGAATCGAACTATAATAGCCTCCAATAATGCAGATACGTACTTATTATTTTTAATGGTTTTGAGTTCAGTTATACCAAACCTGACTTGACAACGGGTCATAAAAAGCGATAACATTGTTTACATTGTAAATAAGGTGATAACGATAGAGTTGAAATTGACTATGAACCTATCTGTAGATATTTTGCAAAATTGCAAAATTTCATATACCTGCATACGTAGGTATCTTATAAAATATGTACCTGTTAACAATGTGCAATAACGAGTTAGATAAAGTACTCGAAACAAATGATAAGAAGAGCACGTGTACCACAATAATACGTTTAGAAATATTTATCAGTTCTGAGCGTTAACGATTAATTTTTACAACTTTATGCTAACTTATACTAACGATTTAAAGGTCAGAACGTTTTATACATATATATACAAAAGCGCTTGACAACAAATGATTATTAGGTGGAACTTATTATAAAACAAAACTGGCAAAAATGAAGAATTATTATACCATTTAAATTACACTTACAATGTGCGTATATCAACCGCAACAGCAATACACAAAAAGGTTTACTAATTATATCTTTGCAGAAAAATATACCTTTCTCGTCATCATCATAAAGTCGTCATTCCTAAGACTGATTGGACACGCATCCTGAGCTAATCTTTACATTTCCCTAAACTAAAACTGTAACATCCCACATCCTTAACTATTTGTAAATCTAATCTAATCTAATCTAATCTAGGTCTACCTCTACATCTCTTAACTCCTGTTTCTGTATCTAATATGTCTAGCCCTTTATGCCGGAGAAGGTTTTCTATCAACCTATATCTTGCCTATTTCTTATTGACTTCCATAGAGTCTAATTCTTTCTAATACCTTTTCATGTCTAGCCTTCTCTATCCACGTTATCCTCATCATTCGCCTCTAACTCCTCCGCCGCACCCACCGTCCATGTTTTGTACCCGTATAGCGCTGCGCTCCAAACATATGACCACCTTTAAAAATATTTTTCAAATTTCTAAATTAACCGTTCGTGAGCATGGAAATGACTTCTTTTTATTGAAGACGACTCGACCCTGCGCTATCATCTGCTTTATATCCCTACTACTCCTTCCGTCCGGACTTATCTGACTTCCTTAAAGATACCGAAAATCTTTTCTAGAAAAGTAATTTTATCCTTGAAATTCCCAATAGAAGTTTGAACTATATGTAGTTCGAATGAAATTTATTGTAAAGATTGTGACAAACTAGGAGCTCAATTCACGTTAGGTTCAAAGATCAGTTATATCGTGTAAGATTTGGTAGAATAGAAAAATCCAGTTGTTAATCATGAGCCATTATTCGCCTAATCATTTATATTGTTTAGTGTATTATTTGATAAGCGGAAACCAGTCGGCCCGCTCTTATATTGGGCACAATGNATTTTCATATTCTTATTTATAAAAGGACTTACTTAGGACTGACGACCTTATGATGATGATGATGACATAAAATCGATCGAACTCTCTTAACATGACAAGAGTCCTCTCCGTAACTTAGATATTTAGTCTAATTTAATTTGTCATGTTATTATCTTACAGTCCTCTGAACACTGCAGTTACACTTCGAGTTACAACATAAGTTAAATGTTCAACGGTTCAACTTTTCTTATAGAATTCTTCAGTCCTGCTTGTTGCCAAGAGGTACTTGGCTTGGGTTATTTAGAGCGTTCTACAACACCGCCAAAATTTTTTAATCTTCCAGATCCAAAATTCAATGATTTTTAAAACACTTATTTTGTTTTTTTTTTATCGTATATATACATAATTATTATTAAAAAAAATTAATTATGACTTAAATAATGAACTTTTCCTATTTTTAAAATGTGATAGAATGAAGATGCAAATGAATTATATAATTTGATTTTTACAATGTACGTATCGTAGATATGTTAATTACGTCAATAAACATTCATATCTATCTCACTTTTTCTAATAACATGACAGTATGTTTCTTTATATTGTTTTTAAAACGTCTCTATAACAAACTGTATTGATAAACCTTTTTGTGATAAAACAAACGAATAATTGTACAACGTTGAACTAATAACATAATATTTATTATTTCAAGCATAAAATGATGTACCTACGAAGTTGTTATTAGTGTTTTACCATTACATGGAGTTATTTTATATTTATATAGTGAGTCTACTTAAGTTGGCAGCATATGGGAAACTTTTATTATTAATCTTATAAAAAAATGTTATTCCTTATAAAAAGTCCTGCTTGGTCTTCATCACATACATGTTTTGGCAGAAAATACGAAATGAGTGTAACAGTAAAGTATACCTTTATTTTTGAAAATAGCAGAAACCTTTATAAAAAAAAGTTGTGGCCATTAAAATAGGGTGATTGAAAGAACATTTTCTCAAAGCTTCATTATTATATACAAAAACTATAAACACCTGTGTGTCCCTTGCATTGAATGAAATAAAAGAGGTTCCTTTTGTCAAATAGCACTTATATATGTTGAAAGATTTTCTTACTTAACATTGAAAACAACTACGTGCATTTGGTCCTTCAAGCCGAATGTGCGCAAATAAGCTAAATTATTTTATTAAGTATAAACATCAAATAAGTATTCCTATAATATAGTTTTTTAAATCCTGTACTTATTAAAGGGCATTTTGTTGCAGAATAATCCCGAAGTATACATTTAAAACTTTCTAGAATACCCACTATAATAATTGATACATTTAGAATTTGATACTTCACGATACTTATTTATCTAGAAGCAGTTTCAATTCAAGAGCGTTAAATTATGGAAGGTCATAGTATTTTAGCAAAATGTTATTTTCCACAATTATCTAATAGATATTGGGATCCGTCAAATGGGAGGAGCCTAAAAACATGGCGCCGATTAGGGAAAATTTACCGTAATTCCTATAGTGTACCGTACAATTTCCAAGTTTTTAAATTAGATAAAATGATAAGTATTGACACAATATGTGATTGGGCTGACACAAAGCCTCGGAAAAGAAATTTCGTTGAAGATGAGCGTGTTTTTAATACCAATCACATATAAATTTCGGAAATAACAAATCCGGAAGCTAGCCTTCAAATTCCGTCAAGTTTACTGCCTACTTTTCACAAACTTCGGATTTAAAAAGTGATTCACGTTATATAATTGGTGAGGTGATTCTGAGTGATTTAAGCAATATCATATTAATGACGTGCAAAGCCGATTTAAGAGAACGTTGCAAACACATTATTGCATCTTTGTTGTATTGCAGCAGGTAGGTTCTTAACCTCAAAATACTTAAATCGTATCATTAGAATTGTATTAAATCAATTACACACGAATAAATAATTTCTCACTTTATAATGTTAAAAATATTAAGGTTATGGCTGATGGGAAATACTTGCTGAAATATAATCATGTGCATTAAAATGACGTGAACAAATTTTTATTCCGGAATTTACTTCTTTGATACCTACTGCTTTCATCCAAGCTTCTATTAGTTTACTTTTTTCTCTAATTTNTATTGTTTTAAAATTTAAAAATAATAGATATCGTAAATAAAATAATTCGAAATGGGCTGTATTCCTATGTAAATTTTTCCCTCATTCGAGTTATAAATTTTGCCACCAGATGGTGTATGCCCATTTGACAGATCCCAATAGGCTCATTAAAGTTATAAGGTTTAAATCAAATTGGCAAATGTGGCTAAAAAATTGTATTTACATCTACCTATGTATGACTACTGCATTTTCTCAGCAATGTATTAATCGTAAGATTCTATTTATAGCAAATGTAATATATATTTTCTCTTTGTAAGTATTGGTGCATTAATAAAGTGAAAGTTTAATAACCTTTACGAGAGAGCAACTCGCTCAAAAGAATTTTGCTAGAATTAGAAGTCAAAAATAATATTTATGCTTTTTAATTTCCAATTTGCGAGTCATAGCTTTTTAACATCCACGTTTCTCTTAAACAGCTAGAATGAAAGATACTTTTATTTACTTTTAACAAAAGTTTACGTACCTACCTATAATTTTCTTACAAATAAAATATAATTTATTCCTAGTATGTATATAGTTTTTATGATAAGTATAAAAAGAGAACTGCTTATTAAATAAACGTTCTTTTTTCCCACATTAACTCTAATTAAGCGTTAAAACTCGAAACAAATATTTGTATGTCAGAAAAACGATAAGATTGTACTTATATGCATAGCCTAAGAGAAAATTAATTGACCGGAAACTGCATAAGGACCACAGTTTCTCATTTAGAAGATATAGTCTAGTCAACAAGTACCATTTGGTCGAATTCGGGACTGAATACACCTAAATTATGGACAAGGTGTCATTCTATTCGTAATTACATCTAGAATGTTTTAGAAAAAAAAATGGGGTTGATAATAATTAGAAAAGTTATAAACGATTTAGCAAAAAAGGAGACTTTCATTTTTTGCAAATATATGAAATTTTTTTACAGATAACGGAAATCGGAAAAAGTTTCTTGAAGGGAAGGAAATTTCCCAAACAAAGTCCCACAATTCGGGACTGTATCATTAATATTTGTAATTTTAATTGAGAGATGAAAGTAGGGCTTGAAAACGAGTGATTCGGGTCCCACGCCTGTCGCTTAATTTAGACACAAATTAAAATTATTTTTAACTCATTAAATCTGAATATTAAGGAAAGAAAAAATTCAGATATTTACTGGATACTTAAACAAACAATAATCCGTGGGCAAAACATTTTTACCTCAATTTTTCCAATAACTATACTTTTGTTAATCAAAAACATTTTCCAATCTGGAAAACAACAAAAATACCCCGATAATTTTTAAAATAAAAGTCTGGACTTTTTTTTTACTTCTGGGAGCTATTCTTTTAGCTACATTATTTACAACTTTTCTAATTTTCATCAACCCTACATGGTCTTTTTTTAAGAAAACATGCTAGATGTCATTGTGAATCGAATAACACCTTGTTCATAATTTTAGGTGAATTCAATCCCGAATTCGACCAAATGGCACTTGTTGACTAGACTAATAAAGATAAATATGAAAGCAATAATAATAACAGTTAGGAATATTTAAATAACACCTTACTTTATTTTTCATAATGCTACTAACACAAAACTAACTCTAGCGATAATATGTAATTGACTTTAATGCAAGCTCACCTAATATGCTTGAAGACGATGTTTTCAGGGGTCACATCCTTCCAGGAATCGTGGAGATAATCTCTGCAGATCCTGGCTGCCAACTCCACCATCTCCTTGTTGTCGGCAGGATTCTGTTGGTAAAACGTACTTTTAATTCGTCTTGATAATTTAGGCATTTTTACTCCACAAATGTCGTTTACTTTCTCAATATTAAAAACCCGAATAAACAAACGTAAGCGCATAAAAATTGATCAAATCTTAGTAAATTTTGAAATCGTTCTTTTTGTTTATTTAAAGAAAACTGGGACGGTAAGTTTAACGCTCTTTCTACATGCGATATTCCTTCTGCCAGACGAATCAAATAGGAATCAATAAGTCAGGCCTTGCGCTGTTTTTAACAGGATAATTCATTGAGTAAATTGAAGAGATCTAATAAAACCTACATTAAATAATTCCTTTGGACAATGAGTAATCGCCAGTCATAAACTAAATTACTTAATGATGTTTAAAACTAAACTGACAATACAGAGGGTGATCATCGTGTAACTTATATACAGGGCGATTAATCAAAACTTCTAAAAAGTTGAAAGTAAATAGAGAAAGCAGAAGGTATCGATATGAAAATGTTTTCCGTTCTACCGGAAGTACACTATTTTAAATCGAATGATCCATTTTTAATTATTTCTTTGAATTTTATTAATTTAACAGCAACTTTTGCGAAGATGAAATGCTTCTAACATTAAAGCTAAAATTTTTCGAGGTAAAGTTAATTCAAGATAAAAATTTTAGTAGAAAGCAGCCACAAAAATTGTATTTTTTCGGGAACCAAAAAGTTAGTGCTTCAAAATTTTTTTTATGTACCTATGTAAAAACCCTAAAACTCCCTCTTCCTTTAGAAACTTCCACTAAAAAATGATTACATAAAAATATCTGTCATTTGTTTTAACAGTACTACGTAGGTAATTACGTCGATTTTAAAGAGATTTTTTGGGAAGTATGTTCTTGGTTAACATTTTGTCAAAACTATACATAGGACACGATTTGAAACATGCCGATTCTCATCAGCACGCCATAAAAACTTCTGGCAAATTACTATTAACCAAACCGAAGCTGGTGGTTATCAAAAATAATAATTAATCACACACATGTGGTGGCATACCATCCGTGGGTTACAACTTATGCGTTCATTAACTTGCGATAGTGGCAAATCTTTATAAATGACAGAGTATACTGCTCATCAATTAATCTAACTAATTATACTTTCTACAACTGTTTCAAACTTTAACTTTCTTACAGTAAATAACTATTGGGTTATTCTAAGTAAAGATGGACTGCAACCTTCCAGAATTCTTATTGATTAATAATATAGTACACTTTACGGCGATAATATTGTTTTAAAATTTAAAAATAATAGATATCGTAAATAAAATAATTCGAAATGGTCTGTATTCTGTCGAAACTGCCAGACGCGGATCGCGAGATTACGTAATCCTAAAATGTAGCATCTTGCTACAGATGGCGTTTACTGCGCCATTTGTAGTATTTTCTAAGATATCGTAAATGTTGATATCAATCAGTTTCTCCTTGAAAGTAATTTTTCGAGCAACCAATGAAATTATCGTAAAAGGCACTGTAAGGATATTTAACTTGATTTATGGAATGAGCGAATAATTATTATTATAAACAACTGTTACTAATTGCAAAGCTGACATGTTTTACTACCTAGTTTATAATACCATATAAGGCCGGTCGCATTCTTATGTAGACAACAAGTAGCAGATAGTTTTGTATTGGACATATCAAACAAATCAAAGAAAAAGAAAAAATAAACAAAAATACTGGATTCATCGACAAAGTGGGTAATATCAAGAAGTGCACGGGCAGAGAAATGACAGAATACCCAGAAAATATTGTATTTTTCTGCTGTTGCACAAATTTTATATTAAACGACGGAGTATCTTGCATATTCGCTGTTTATCGACCAGGCGATCAACGTCAAATGCGTTGCTTGAAACTGAGGCAAGAAATGTTCGACATGTCGGAAAATATGACTGCAGTGTTTGGTTGATGTACAAAAAAGATCAATAATATCAAAAAAAAAATCATTTCTTATTTGCATAGTACCTACAGTTTAGTATTACCTATAGTGTGAAAGTTGTAAATGTCTAAATGATGTTGGGGGTGATAGGACGGAGGTACTGAGGATGGGCGTTTTATGTAATAAGTGAGACTTTACAAATTTTCCTTTTTTAGCCCATCCCTGTTCCACTCTACTATCCAGACAATTACCAAAATTTTGTTAAAATCAAACATATGTATATAAGTAAGAATAGAAAAATATGTTAACGTTATAGAGGTGGATATTTAAAAGTCAATCGATATAATAAATTCTATGAGAAAAAAATCCCCCTAAGATGGCTTAAATACTAGGAGGAGGCCCTCACCATTAGTGCCGCACATGGTCTCCCGGCATGACCAAATTATATTTGCCTCATTAGGCCCCACAGGACATTAGACAAACCTCACAATAAAGTCTAATTAAGTAAGGTTGTCGGTAATCTTTTCAACGGATGAAAAGAAATCCTTTAACTTTATTGTATTTCATTCCCATCGGTACCTAACTTCGAACAAAACTAGCAAATACGTAGTAGGTGAAGTTGAAAAAATGTATGTACATACATACGTCAAATTTTATATACCTACTACAGTTGCTTATCTACTCTAATAATTGCGAACTTTGATATATCAATATCCGTGTTTACAAAGGAATCACAACTCAGAGGTCGTACTGCATACACTGTTACTTTATAGTTAGCTTCTAGAATTCTATAGAAAATGTCGAATTAAATAAAACAAACCTGTCATCTAATAGTAAGATAAATAATCACCAAGAGTTTGAATAAGGACAAAAACACTTACTTGAATTAACATTTACCTACGTATATTAGTTTACATATTTGAGTAGTGCCTATTTGAAAAAAATTTTTTTTGAATACATATTTAAATACCAATATCTATAAGTATTTAATATTTGTTAATATATTTAAATTAATATTTAAACTTATTTAATATTTAAATACGCATTTAATAATATGATATCTTAATCTTATCGAATTTTACCTACACTCAAAGGTTATTTCTTTTAGGTATTTCCAAGATAAAGCTGTTATGTTATAGCAACATGAATCAGTTAATTAATTTCATTTTTATACTAAAACGTCTAGGTAGCACTCTACCTCTAAGTTGTAGTATATTTCAAGCTTCGATTAAAAAAATATTGCAAAGCATTATTGCATGAAGCTTCCTAAATTAAAAACTATATCTCGGAGTTTTTTTTTAATAAAAAATTTTGCCACACCTCTAATTTTTAAAATAAGAAATGTTGCCATCCTTACATTAAAGAAACGTGTAAATTGTTGAAAAAATGGGTTGAAGTGTTTTCGAATTAAGGTTGAGTGCTTTTTCGTAAACATTTCCTGGAATTGTATTGTTTTTTTAACATTATCAAGTAGACTAAAAAATGACTAAAACATCAATTCCAAAAAAATAATACATTTTCTATTTAAGTAGTCTTAATACCGTCTTAAAATATTACCGATTGAACTAAAAATAAATGCATAATTCTAATATTGAAAATGTTTATAGCGTCAATGCCGATAAACGTATAAAACGTTAAAAACTAATATACTAGGTAGGTACACAACCTTTAAAAAAAAACGTTTCGTACTTGAACTAGTTTCTTACCTTCTTGTTGGCCAAGTAGGACATGATAGGTATTCAGGTAGTCGAGCACCAAAAATTAATCAATTTTAAATGTTAGTAAAAATTTTACTTAGAAAACTGACTTTCAAAATTAAGTACGATATAAAATCACAATACTACCAAGGATGCACTCAATATGAAATGCAGAATTTTGCTTTGCACAAATGCAACTGGGATAGTTTCGACAGTACTAAGTACAAACCAATAATGACGAATGAATCAACCTGCAGCGCTAATAAAGTAAACCGATATTTTAGATGCTGTACGGTTGGGTAGACGCAACGTGTGATATTTGTGAGATTGCGCAGTATTCATGTCTATGGTATGTACGTGCAGTGGTGACGTCACTATTAGGTGGAACCTCACAAACATTCACAAATCTGGAATCTCGATCATCTCAACACCATTCCAATGTTGCAGGGCAGGCTGCTGATATTTGCATTGTAGTCAGCGTAGACATTCCGCTACTATTTTCATTGTTAATATTAATTGTAATGTTTTTAACAATATTACGAACTAATCAGAGAGACATATTTTAGACGTTGAATCATGTAGATTTTATATTAGGAAGAACAAAGACAAAGAATTTTGGGATGTATTAAAAGACTGTGAAACAGAAATGTTAAATGAAAATTGGGGAGAAATTAATGAGATTAACGATTTTGAAAGAAAATTTAAACAGACATAATACAAATAAAACTGGATTAACTATAAATCAATTAAGAACAGCTGATAAGGATAAGGGAAGGAATAAAAGCAAATATTAATTTTAATGAAGAAATAGTAGTTATAAAATACGTAGTAAGGAGTTTTGTGTTAGAGTTGTATTTATATTCATTTTGTATTAAATTGATGACATTTTGTTTCAATATACATCACCCATTTACTACCAGTTATCATCATCATAAGGTCATCAGTCCTAAGACTGGTTGGACACGTACCTCCACTCTTTCCTATCCTGAGCTAAACTTCGCATTTCCCTAAAACTAGAACAGCCCACATCCTTAACTATTTGCGAACAGTAATCTAATCTAGGTCTACCTCTACCCCTCCTAACTCCTGTTTCTGCCTCTAATATGTCTCTGACTAGACCTTCATGCCTGAGAAGGTGTCCTACCAACCTATCTCGCCTATTTTTTATTGACTTCCATAGAGTCCTCTGTTCTCCTATTCTTTCCAATACCTCTTCATTTCTAACCTTTTCTACCCACGATATCCTCATCATCCGCCTATAACACCACATTTCGAACGCTTCTAACCTTTTCTTTTCCGCCGCTCCCACTGTCCATGTTTCGCACCCGTACAACGCCGTGCTCCAAACATACACCTTTAACAACCTTTTTCGAATTTCTAAATTAACCGTTCGCGAGCATAGAAGTGACTTCTTTTTATTAAAGGCGACACGACCCTGCGCTATCCTCTGCTTTATATCCCTACTACTCCTTCCATCCTCACTTATCTGACTTCCTAGGTATCTAAAATCAGCCACTTCTTCTAATTTTTCGTCTCCTATCTTTATATTCGCTCTTTCCCTACTTTTTCTTCCCTTGCATATCAGTATTTTAGTTTTACTTTTATTTATTTTCATACAGTACTGATCTGTCAGTACCGCTTCCATTTTATTTAAAGCTATCTCTAGGTCCTCCTTGCTAGATGCTAATACTGCTATATCATCTGCAAATCTAAGCATACTAATCTTTTGCCCTTGCACATCTATCCCTACAGTTGTACTGTCTTTAATGATGTTGATGGCGTCTTCGATGTATAGATTAAAAAGTAGCGGTGACAGTGTGCATCCCTGCCTGACTCCCTTCCTAATATTTACTTCTCTACGTTGCATCCCCAGCTCTATAACTGCCTGTTGCTCTTTATACAAACTAAGTATCACTCTTCTATCTTTGTAATTCATCCCTACATTTTTAAGTATATTTAACATCTTGTCCCATTTAACATTGTCAAAAGCTTTCTCTAAATCTACAAATCCTATGTACGCACCCTTTCCTTTTTCTATTGTTTTCTCTATTGCTACCCGTAAAGCTAGAATGGCCTCCCGCGTTCCTCTATTTCTTCTAAACCCAAATTGATCTTCCCCTAATAGTTCTTCCGCCCTTTTTTCCATCCTCCTCTGTACAATTCTAGTTAAGATTTTTGACGCATGGGAAGTTAAGCTAATTGTTCGAAATTTCTCGCACCTATCCGCGCCCCTCTTCTTAGGTAATGTTACTACTACGTTCCGTTTATAATCCTCTGGGACTTTCCCCGTTTCGTAAATGTGACTAACTAACTTAAACATACGATCTCTAACCTCTTGTCCTGCATGTTTTAGAATTTCCCCCTGTATCCCATCTACACCTGGCGCCTTATTATTCTTTAAATTTTTTAATGCTACATCGAACTCTTCTCTCATTATGGGATAACCAAGCTCATCTATTTCCACACTATCTTCCTTCTCTAATATATCTCCTAACTCAGGGCCTGCGTAAAGGTTCTCTAAATATTCTTTCCACCTATCTGCCTTTTCCTCATTTTCTATCAACATGACCCCTGCCTCGTTTCTTATATTATTACTACTGTATCCTACATCTCTAAAATTCCTTTTAATTATATTATAAGCCTCATCGGTTTTACCTACTTCAAACTTTTCTTCTACTTCTTTACACATCCTATCAATCCACTGTTCCTTAGCTGCCCTACACTTCCTAATTATTTCCCACTTTATAGCTTTATATCTTTTTTGCCCTTCTTCGTCTGTCCTGTTTTTGTATTTCCGCCTTTCGTCTATTAATCCTACAATCTCATTTGTTATCCAGGGTTTCCTACTTTCGTTTTGTTTAAGACCTAGTACCTCTGTAGCTGCTGACTTTAGACACGTTTTAATGCAGTTCCATTCTGTCTCTATGTCCCCGTCATTCGTTTCTCCAGCCGCCATTAGTATTTCGTCTGTCATTTTACCTAGCCTATCACGCGCTTCGTTACATTTTAGCTTTTCTAAGTCGAGACGTCTCCTACCTGCCCTCTTTTTCAGAATTTTGAATTTAAGATTGGTCTTCATAACTACTAAATTATGATCGCTATCTATATCTGCTCCTGGATAACTCCTACAGTCCTTCACTTGATTTTTAAATCTTTGCCTAACAAGTATGTAATCTAACTGATATCTCCCTAAATCACCTGGCATCTTCCACGTATAGCGCCTCCTAACGTGATGGTTGAATAAAGTATTCGCGACGGTTAAGTTATGTTTATCGCAAAATTCTATCAGCCTATCTCCCCTATCATTTCTATTGCCTAATCCAAAAGAACCTGCTATTGCACCCACTTTACCTTCACCTATTACTGCGTTGAAATCTCCTAAAACTATTAGGTTGTCCTGTCCTTTCACTAAACTTAACACGTCTTCTATATCTGCATAAACTGCTTCTACGTCTTCATCACTGTAAGATGATGTAGGCATGTAGACCTGCACTAATACCGTTCTTACCGGCTTTGAGTTTAATTTAACCATAACTATCCTATCGCTTTTTTGTAAATAACTTTCTACACTCTGCCCTACTTTCCTACGCATTACAATTCCTACACCTGAATTACCTTCTACAGATCCTGTATCGTATTACTCTAAAGTCCCCACTCCAGAAGTCTCCAGCTTCGGGCCAACGGACTTCACTTATACCTACTATATCAAATTCTAATCTATCCATCTCTACTTATAAATTGTCTAATTTTCCTACTTGCCTCATTGTTCTAACATTCCACGCTCCGACCTTATTGCACTTATTGATGACATCCCCCGAGGTAGTCCCCGTCCGGGCATCCGAATGGGGGACTAGTTTACGTCCGGATTGCTTTACCCCAGAGGACGCCATCATTTAATTTCAGGAGTTGAACGTTTTTAATGCTATAATTAATGAAATAAGTAATCAAAATCAACATGAAAAAATGTACCGTAAAACCTAAGGTAAGGTATATATTATTTGTGGCGACATTAAGAGATACAACTCTTTTTCTTTCGCCTCATCGTAAGGACTGCACTGATTTTGAGTCCTGCGTTTTTTATTTTTCCTCTACTCAAGAGAGATTTCAAGAATAATTATTACACCTCGGAGGATAAGGTGAAAATAGTTATCAAGTTCTGGAGGAATGTTTCACAGGCGGAATGAAAAACCCTGTTACACGTTGGGAGAAACGAGTGACTTTTAACAACTTTTATATTGCAAAATAAATATATGATTTCGAAACAAGAATTATCCCTACTTAAATATCAGAAGTAAATTATGACGAGTTTTTTTTAAGGGTTGCTTTTTAGTGAAAGCCAGTGGTGTTAGTAGAATTGCGAATCTTTCCAGAATTTCCTAGTATTTTTTAAAAAATTCCAAATATTAAGGGACTTTCCGGAAATTCTACTACTTTTTATGTTCCTGAATTCTCACGAAATTTTCTCAACAACCCCGGATATTACGCCGAGTTTATCAAATAGGTATATATTAGTAAAACAAATATTTTCATTAATACTTCTTTATTTTGTAATAGAACAATATTCACTACAATTGCTTCGCCTAACTTTGACTTTATTTGATGGTGAGTTGGGGAGACCGTTGCAAAAAGAGGTTCCTCTTCAGCCTCCTCTTAGGAATCATCAGAATTGGTGAGTGGCGGTTGGGGTGAGAAAGATGAGACGGACGAAATGAAGAGAAGTGAAAGACCATCTAAGAAATAGAATTATCATTACTACTGCCCTATCATTACCAACTGATCTAAGGAAATTCGAAATGGAACCAGTGTCCTCTCGAATGTTAAGCAATGGTCTAAACCTTTAAGCAATGCTGCTGGGTACGGCGCTTGTATTTAGTGTGTGAATTTATTCGCAGTCGACCAAATGATGGGTACCTATTTTACTATAATGTAATATGTGTCATAATTGGGTCCATAATATATGTATATATGCTCTTTTACCCCGTGCCATTTGAGTTCCTTATTGTAATTCCTCATTATGAGAAAATTAAGTAATTTATTGTATAGAATGTATTGAATATCTAAACTTGATGTATAATGTTTCTATCTGAGTAAAAAAAAGTTATTTTATTAAACAATTTAATTTTATTTATATGATGATTTCTTTCTTAAGTATTCCATTTTGTGTTGTATCAGCCTTTAAAGAACAGTAGTACAGGAAGGGTAGAGTTAAGATGAATAAATAAATGAATCAAACATGTTCACTGCAGGCTCGTGTCTCACCCACTTCTAATGT